CGGCCCCCGGTTTTTACAGTTACCCACATTATACCGTATACAGGGAATACCCTCTCACCTCCCATTTCCTCCCTACAATCAGCTGTTTTTTCACTGGAATCTCTTCACCATCATCTGCCTTCCTCTTCAGCTGGCTAACAGAGGGTTGGTGTGAACCTTTTTCGTAGTCAGAGAAATGGATAGATGAAGTAATGCTGTAGGTCAACTAAGGCCTGTATGGTACACTGCACGAAAACTTAGATTTACCGACACCAGTATAGTTGGGTAATGTTAAGTACTTTGTTTTTTGAACACTTCTGAACTTTACAATGGCAGTAATCAAAGGTCAAGTAGGTAATACCGGACTTAACAAGGGTTGTAAAGGAAATTTACTACCACTGTTAAGCCAGATACTGTGTTCATAGTAAACATTACCTACAACCTTTGGTAAATCCAACTTTTCGTGCAGTGATTTATATATATGTCACCATTGGCTAGGGCGATCGCGATATACTATATACTAGTACACTGGAAAGTGAGAACTTTTTCATTAATTATACCAGTACATGTATTCATCTATGTTGTGTTAGGCAAGAGTTTGCTCGAATGAGACTGTACAAAGGTAAATTATGGGTATAGTCCACCAAGAACAGTGGCCATGTAACGCAAAGATTTCTTGTTACGCGATAGCATATCGCTGGTACGGACATGTTTTACGACTCCCACCCGACCCCCCTACACGGGCTATCCTGAACTTTAGGTTAGCCCCCAGTCCGCTGGGTGGAAGAGACCACGGGGGGCCCTCGCACCCGCTGGATGGACGTCCTGGCCAAAGACACCGGGCAACACCACCCCAGACGAAGCGCAGGGGCTCGCCCAGGACAGACAGAGATGAAGGGAGCTGGTTCGCCTGGTGGGCTCGACGCACACCGTGCAAGTCAGGACTGAGTGAGTGAGTGAGTGAGTGATAGCATATAGTAACTAACAGTAGAACAAACAGCCCATCCATTGTCCTCTTTGAAATAGATTATCCCATGTTGGTCGTCATTTCATTTGGGTATCCTATAGCCAATAAACCTTAAAGAAAACATGACTACTAGTACTTGAGTGACTAACTGCAAGTGCAATGAATATAGATATGCATCAGGGCTACATCATATACTTAACAAGAGTTCCACGATCTCATACCTTCGCCAGTTGATGTTACCCCTTCCGGTGGACAAATTATACATTTTTACTCATTGATTTCGCAAATAACAGCCTCATTTGCATGGATTATACCAGTTGATCATATTATCCACCCAATGGCATCCTCATCTTAACAAAAAGGGTTTATTGTAGCACGTCCTCATAAATTGTGCAAATGAAGTCACGATTTGAATAATTCATGTTTATTGATGTTCACCTTCAATTAACTTCCAAATGTGGCAGGTATAGAATTCCCAGCAGTTACTACTATGAAAGTATATCAATTTAACATTAATTATGCAAATTAGGTCTTTATTTACATAATCTATATCCTCAGATTTTTTTCTCGTTCTCAATTAGTGTTTCATAGTCCTATTATAGAACGAAGCAGATTTATAGCATTTCCTCATTAATTATGTGAATTAGCTCCTGATTTGCATAATTATCATCTAATTATGTAAAACATCAAACCAGCTACCTACATACAAAAAAATCACGATAATCGGTCAACCGATTCTTGAGTTATCCTCCTTCCAAGATTTTTCAACAAACGCTCCTGCGGTTCCAGAAAAATCTGCTAGGGGGCCCGAACTCATGTCACTTCTTCCCTAGCTCAAGACCTATCTACCATCCAAACTTCGAATTCGTGACCCTACCTTGCCCAGATCATGAGATATCAAAACCGAAAGTTCTGCTGCAGTACCAACTAGAGTTCAACGATCTCATACCTTCGCCAAATGATGTTAATCTTTATGACTGACAAAGTATTACTCCTCCTGATTATGCAAATAGGATCCTCATTTGCATGAATTATATCAGTTGATCATATTCTCCACCAAAAGACAGCCTTATCTTAACAAAGAAAGCCGTTCTATCATTTCCTCATAAATCATGCAAATGAGGACCTCATTTGAATAAGTTATTTTTAATGATGTTCACCTTTACTTAACTTTCAAATACCCCAAGTATGAAATTCCAGGCAGTTACCATTATGGAATTATAACATTTTCTCATTAATTATGCAAATTAAGTGTTAATTTACATAATCAATATTTGCCTGTGTTTCTCTTGTTCTCAATTACATATATCACAAGCTTAAATAGTCCTATAATGTAATGCAGCTGATTTATAGAATTTCCTCATAAATTATGCAAATTACATCCAGATTTGCATAATTGTCACATAATTATGTCGAGCGTCACTTAAGCTTCCTACATACCAAAAAATCATGACGATCCGTCAACCGGTTCTTGAGTTATCCTCTTTTGAATATTTTTTAAAGAAACGCCCATGCAGTTCCAGAGCAAGCTTCTAGGGGGCCCAAACCTACGTCACTTCTTTCCCAGCACAAGAGCTACCTATCATACAAATTTCGTGACCCTAGCACGTCTAGGTCATGAGATATCAAACCCGGAAGTTCAGCTGCAGTACCACAACAAGCCGCCAGGGGGCCCAAAATCTAATCATTTTGAGGTCTCATCAAGACCTACCTACCTACAAAGTATGAAGACAATCCATTTAAGCCTTCTCGAGTTATCGTGTCCACAGACAGACACACAAAACGCCTCTGAAAACCTAACCTTCTTGGCGAAGGTTACAAAAGCCAAGGGGCCCAAAATATAATCATTTCTAGGTCTCATCAAGACCTACCCACCTATCAAGTTTCATGAGAATGCAAATGCTTCTTCTAGTTCTGTTGTTCACAGATGGACGGACGGACAAGCGCTACTGAAAACATAACCTTCTTGGCGAAGGTAATAATCTACAAAGTACATCTTAATGACGCCAGACGTTTGTTCAATAGAATTGCGGAAATCACCTACTTGTTACTCCGTGAAGGAGGTCAGGACCTCCGGACGGAGTGTTGTAATCGGCTGATTTTTCATGTTCGCAGTCAAAACACTGGGTTCTCTTTGTGTAATCGGCACGCAATTTTATACGCCGTCTGCGGGCATGCCCGTGTTGATGCACGAATGTGTATTTTTGCCGTTGCTGCTTTCGTGGTCAATGTAATATCGCAGACGCACCCCTACAATTACGAGGCGAATTGGAATGGTCCAGAAAAACGCGTTGTTTGGAATAGCAGTGGGGTTCAAAAAAGTTCATGCAGATACGGGGTGGTTTTTATAAGTGGTTCCAGATGTTTTTGCCCATGGTTAAGAGATGCCAAGTTTTTTGGAAGATGTTCGCAGCCAAAACGCATTCTTCCGTACGTCGCATTTCTGTGTAATTTCGCATGTGGTGTTGCATTATGTCCGGGATGATGCACGTCTTTTTATTTTTGCCGTAGCTGTTTTGATATTGGAGTAAATGCTTATTTTCGAAACATCCCCATTTCTTTGAAATGGTTTCGTCCGTTTATGCAACTGTTACTGCGCTAATGACGACCAGTCGCGCTGTCCTGATACACCGCGAATGTGCGAGTGTTCCCTGTAGACAGTCCCGGGAGTCATTTTTTTCGCACATTCCAGGAGCCAAACCAAAATACGTTCATGAACCGAGTCCAAAAAACCGAAACGTGAAAATCGGATGATCGGACCTGATGTACATTTCTCTTTCTATAGATTGTACACACAATACACACATCTTTAGATAATCTGGCCATGGCAGGTTAAAACAAAAGTAACCCTGAATCATACTAGATTAGCGTAAATGCATGTTAATGCGTTCAAAACAAGAAAAAAATTGTTTCCGGGTATTAATCTCTTGAATCACGGCGCTGAATATTGACGCAAAAATATTTCGGGCATCGCGCGCCCTTCCCGCGTCACGTGTAGGCATCTCGCATCTCTGATTGGTTGTTGCGTCTTAAGATGACTGAGCCGACGCGCGTTTAAACAATTTTTCTTTGTTCGATTTATCACACTTCACAGAGAATTGTCGCCAATGGCTACTTCTTTTTGTTGCAATATATAATACTTCACGGAGAATTGTCGCCTATGGCTTCTTGTTATCGTTTCCAACTGACTTGTTTTACGTGTACCTCTCCTCCTCCTTGGATCAGCACCGCTACGTACTATCTCAGTATCTGGCTGTATGTCAGTCACTGCGCCCGGGTCCCATTTTCAAATGTATATTTCGTTTATCTCAAATACTAGTACGTATTAAAGAGCCATCCACAAACACAACATGTCGACAGGACTTTTTTGCCACACTGAACTTGTGGGTTCACTAGTAAACACGAATTTATGCCGTCACCAAGGCATTCATTCCCCTGGAGACTTCACGCCTCATCGGCATGGGTTTGCCCAGTGAGGGTCTGCCTAAATACCTAAACCGACCTTAAACGACCTCAACCGGGCCTAATATTGGCTATGAGCCCTTTTTAACAAGATCGTCCTGTCAATAGTGCATTTCCTTCTGTTTTTGACTAATACTACTACATGTAATTAACAAAACGAACTATATGGATGAAATTTTCGGGAGACACTACCTGTCATGGAAAAATTAAAAGCACACATATGGAGAATATTTATTTTAAAAAAAGCAAGATACATATATCTTTTACTTAAAACGAATCTCGAACGAGAATTGAACACTAGCATAATGCAGGAAGAAAAATACTGCTATCCCCCGTGGCACTGGGGCTTTAATCAGAGTTGGTAGAATACATAATGAAAATTAAATTTTTGACCGAACCACTCGGTCTTCATCAGCTTTCTGACCCGAGTGCAGATAAGGAGTTCCAAACGACAAAGGACCAAATTTTCCTCCAAACTAACTTCTACGAATTCGTTTAGCCAAAACAACCCTCTTTCCCCTGTTAATGATGAATCTATGGGCAGGACACATACAGCAATTTCCAAGGATGACTTTGATCACATTAGGTTTTTGTCAACTGTGCAGGTGCTGGGAGGCAATTATCACATCAAAAGCCCCCTTAAATTCAGGACTCTCTGTCAACAGAAAGAGAACGTGAAAAGCACAGCCACAATTAACCAACTAATGTTTAACAACAGTGACAATGACAGTTCAGTAATGACCAATGGATGGTATTCACTCTGTTTACTGCAATGCAACAAGCTTTCAAGGGCTCAGTCCTTGTGACTTTTTTATATGTACATCAATATAACAATGTATTCACTGTACATTCTCAGATTTCGCACAGTCACCTAAAACAGGCAAGAATTACAAGTCTTCACACTTAAGCCTATTTTTTTTACTTCAGCTTTGATAATATGATGCTCTTCCTGAAGAGCATTAGGGGCATGCACTAATCCTGCATATAGATGTTCTTCCATCCTTCAAATTCATACAATTGACAGCTACATTTAGGTATCACTTTTCAAATGATGTCAAGTTTTGTATCAATAAAATGATACAGAGTAAGGTCTGATAAATTTCATTACAAAAATAATCACTTGCAGATTTTCCCTGACCACTCTATGTCTCCGAGTCAATAGTCTACCAATTGCTGCAGATATACATGACTTACAAAAATAATCTACCAAGATTCACACAACGATGAATCATAAAGACGTCTGCACACGTGGGTTGTGTGGGTTCTTTCCCTGTTTCTGTATCTTGAAGGAGAAGTCTACAGTCTGATACCCCTGTGTGGTGATGCTGAGGGATATGACGTCCACGTGGGGACCCATGAACTTGAACAGAGTGTCCTCACGGATACCTCCGCTAGACTCCACCAGAATGTGGGGGAACTTGTCTTTTATCACCCTGGCTGCAGGATGCAGGGCCTGTGAAAGAACAAAATTACATCTGAAAACTTGCCAAAAATACCAGAGCTTGAACATGAAGAAATATAGCAAAACTCAACACACATATTTGGATACCCATGTGAATAGATTTTGTCCTTGACTGAACCTGCAAAATTCCTAGTGCGGCCAAATGAATACATTCAAGAAATACAATCCACGATCATTCATTGATTACTAGATAAATGCAAGTGTGAAGCTATGTTATGACTCTACAACTGATTGAATTCACACAAAACATGGAAAATATTGAGTCATTCTCTAAGTAAGATATTTGATTTATAGCTAAAAATACCAACAGATTTAAATCCATAGCTAAATATATCAACAGATTTAAAAATCTGTACCTAAAAAAGTACCTACAGCTTTAAATTTGTAGCTAATAAATACCAGCTTGATACCAATGGTGGATTGTTATACACATGTATTGACATTGTGTACTACGCATTACATGCAATACAATTCTACTTGTTGTTGTAATGTTGTTTTCCAACATATATATCAATACTGTAAGAATGGTCCTCTCCTTGGTGCTGAATGTGTAGTCTGTAGAACACAGTAAACAGTGTGTTGACTCCTCACCTGTGGCTCAAAGTTGTCCAGCATGACCACGTCTGCTCCAGCTGCTGCAGCCTCCAGGGCCTCCTCCACTGACCGACACTCCACCTCGATCTTAGTACAGAACCCGCCAACTCTCTTAGCATCTTTCACTGCCTGGAAACAACATGTTGGGGGAGAAGAAATGACTTGTTACATTATCAACCGAATACAAAGCAAAGCTGCTATGTTTTCTACTAAAGCTAGGGGGCACTGCATGCCAGTGTCTCTGGACTACTACTAATATTCCATTGTTGATGTTACATAACGTTACATGTCTTTAACACTCTTTCACTGCCTGGTAAGAACATGTTTAAGGAGAAGAAATGACTCCCTACATGTGATACACACAAGACTGCAGTACTGTCTACTAAGGCTAGGTGGCACTGCATGACAGTACCCTTGGACTACTTGTATTCCATTGAATATGTTTGGGTAGATCAAACCAATCTCAGAACAGAATAATCCAACTCTTAGCATCTCTCAGTTTCACGGCCTGGAAGCAACATGTTTGAGAAGAAATGATGGGCTTCTTATATACACAAAACACAACAAGACTGTTGTACTGTCTACTAAAGCTAGATGGCACTGCGTGACAGTACCCTTTGAGACAGTGCCCTTTGACCATTCTATCTGTTACTTTGAAATGTTAGGGTAGAATTAAAATAGAACATTATTGCAGAACCTACCTGAGTGATGTTCCCTGCTGACCAGATATGATTATCCTTCAGCATGATCATGGAGGACAGGTCGTATCTGTGCGTGGAGATTCCCCCAACGAGTAACGCGTACTTCTCCACCAGACGGAAGCCCGGCGTGGTCTTCCTCGTCCCCGACACCTCCCCGTGCCAGTCCGTATTTTGTGCGATGTCCGACATGCGTCTGGCCTGGGTGGCGATACCGCTGGCACGGGTGATACAGTTCAGCGCCACTCTCTCACCGAGCAGAAGGTGCCTCACCTGGAAGATAAAAATACACTAACATTATTGTCAAGATTTTGGAGACTGTAACTACTAGTATAATTTTTCTTCTTCTTCTTCATTGATTCTTAGTCATTACTGGGTTTATTATCAGATTGTGCATGAATTAATAACAGGTGTCTGGGACATATCAACATATGGAAAGAAAATGGTAAGCATATTATGAACAGAAGAAACATACCTTCCCAGATACTATTGCTACTGTGATGGGTTCACTGACAGGCTCTAGCAGTGTTCCTTCTGGCACCTGAAAAACACATTTAGATTTTTAAACGCAGTCCTGTTAATGTTATAGCATATAATGTTAGATGTCCATCAAAATGATATAACTTGTTGTGTGTGTGTGTGTGTGTGTGTGTGTGTTATACAATGTAGTTACTAGTTATATAGATACTAGTAGAGACAACTGTAGCGCCACCTGCCAGTCCACGGTGCAGTTCAGCTCCTCGAAGATGGCATTGAAGAATGGCACTCCCGCCAGTACCCCGGCAGACTTACACAGCAACACCGCCGACTCCTTTCTCTCTCCTACTACAAACCCGCCATAGTCAAAACTCGGCGTGTCCTCCTCTAACCAACGTCGTACCAGCTTCTTCACCGTCACGGGGTGAATGAGATGCGCCAGGACCAGCTCTGCGTCCTCGCTATCTCTAGACATCATCACAACTTTGGAATTCCGCGAGAAAGACATCGAGAAATGTTTATAATTCGTGAAAACATTAAAGTAACTTTACCACATGCAAGTTGACCTCGTCATGTAGCACCTGTAGCAGACGACCCTGAGCATCTACTTCCGGGTCAGCAATTTAGAAAGATTTTACACAAAACACGAAATTTTTTGGTCAGCTGATAGTTGAAATCTCGTTATATTTCTTAATCGTGAAATAGTAGGGGTATACAATAGAAGAATTTTCCGTATATAGGACAATTGTCTCTCAAATACGAAACTATGTCACCGGAAGTGGTGACATTGACACAAAACAAAGATGGCGGCCGTGCGCTAATTTTTTGGTCCGAGTGTCGCAGTTTGTTGCTTTCTGAGTAGAAAACGTTGGAGAAAGGGACTCCTATGTACGTCTCTCTCGTCGTCCTGCGTCTTGAGGTTGTAGAGGATCATTCCCTACCTTCAATATATTACAAAGGTATGTATGTGACTGTAAAATCCTTTGAGACCATTACTTCGCAGCTCCAAATTATTTGTCCCAAATTATGACTGGTCAAAATGTATATCGGTACAGAAGACATGAAATTCAAACGCATCTACTGTTTAGGCTGAATAGAATTTCGTAAAAGTCATTTGTATATGAAGCACGTGCAAAAAAAAACGCCCGAAGCAAGACATTGATTTAAGTAGTAAAACTTTATTACATTCACAGTAGTACAGAAATTGTGTCATCATAATGGAATTGGTATTAAATAAAGCACGTTCCTTTGTTGTTGTTGTTTTAATAATGAGTCACATAAAATATTGAGCAACAGCAGACACGTTTTTTGGAGGAAATGATGTTTTCTTGGTCTCAGCAAAGTAATTTTTTCATCCCCTGTCCAGCTCCATTGTTTGAAACAATGGCTAGCACAGTTGAGTTTTCAAATCAAGAGGAGCAGGAGGATGGATCATCACAAAGGAAAGATGCAGAGTGTCAAACAAAGGATGGTCCTGATGATGGACAGTCACCTCATCCAGGGGGACAGCAGGAGCAGGAGGATCATGGGAAGGGAGGAGAGGATCATGGGAATGTAGTAACAGATCCAGATTATAGAAATGAAAACCTCAAAGAAAGTTTAGATGATAAAGAACTTGAATTAGTCATGCAAGCTGGAGAAAAGAAAGTTGAGCTCACAGAGAGAAGAGATGACTCACAGTCACCCAGCAAGCATGTCCAAAATGTCCGCGGGCTACGGACTCCCACTGAAGTCACCATAGAAACATACAAGCCAGATAAACAAAAAGGCAAGTCATCTGTTTATTATTATATTTCCGAACCTACAATCAGTTGTCACTGTCACACAACAACACTTTGTAAGTAAAGTTCATGTATGTCAGGTGCTCAAGAGCTTTTAAAACAAGTTTCATTTCTTTGTATAAGTACTAGTAGATGTAGTTCCAACTATAATTTAGATGATTTTAATCACTAATGTGTTTACATATCCAAATTCTTACTGGGTGAAGTTTTTTTATTCCATTTTAGGAGATGTAGAAGAGACAGAGCTGGACTTGGAGGTGAGACTTGCCAACATTTCTGTCACCCACCAGTCCGATGTGGGGGAGGGGGTGAGCGACCCAGCAGCACTCGTCCCAAAACTCCAACAGGCATCCCGTTTACATCAGGCAACCCTTGTGTGGAGGTCACTAAAGGGATCATGCACCTCTTCAAGTCAAGGTAGCCATGGAAAACCATCATACTTCATCTCAATACAGGAGGGCTGGTATACCTTACCTTACAGTGTGTCAGATTCTTAACTTAAAGAAAACTTTCTTAAAGAAAAGTTCCTTCTGTGTTTTCTTGTTTCTGCAACCAACACCAAGTAGTTAAAACTCAGAAAAACAATTCATTACTTCTTAACCAGAAAATAGTAGAAAACAGTAGACTCTGTGGTACTGTAAGTTTTTTTAAGTCACCAACAAAATTACACCTGCAGTGACATTACATGCTGCAAGGGGGACCAAACTAGCATGATTTTGCAGCTTTCCAAGGGCTATGTGCAGTAAAATTCTATCATCCTCATCACAAACTCACACACAAATAGACCTGATTACATAACCCCATTGGCAGAGGTTATAGATCATGTGAAGTTGACAGAACCTACATCCTGCCGTGATCTACATGTGGTGATGTCTCTGTCCCCCAGTGAGCTGACCCCGTGTGATGATGAGATCCCGCGGAGTGAGATGATCTGTATCCTGAACACGCCCTGCTCCATGCTGTCCTGTGACCTGCTCAAGTTCATGTCCCCCGTCAGAGACAGGGTGGAGTACATGCGCATCATCCGGGGCTCACAACCCAACCACTACATGGTGCTGCTCAAGTTCCACAGCCAGGTAATATACATTTTAAAATCAATATACATGTAATGTTAGTTAGGGTACACAGTACACTTAATTTTATGGATGACATATTGATTTTCGCCTGTTCTCAGAAAAAAAGGATAGTACCCAGGCTACAGAATGTCTATGACTCAAGAACCAGTACATACATACAGTTTTGAGTCATGAATTCCGTAAAAGGCCAGCATGTGCCAGTTTGTATACATCATTACCACAAATTTATGATACCACCTTTGTATTCCTATAGTTTAGCGGCATTATTATTTTTAGCCAGAATACATTCCCCTGCAGGCACTGGTTTAGGTGGTCTCAGATGATGTCATCCAAGTCAGTGTGGCCTTAGTGACCACAACTGTCTTGACTGGTCAGTTGTAATCTTTTGTGGTCATTTGCTCTTACAATGAGCCCATCTATTTGACCCAACATGTCACTGTATGTGTAAGCTGTGTACTGACATGTACTGTTGTGTTGCTGTATTCAGGAGTATGCTGACGAGTTTTATAAGAACTACAATGGGATGAACTACAGTAGTCTGGAGGAGTCAGTGTGCCACCTGGTGTATGTCGCAAGAGTGGAGGCCATGAAAGCTGAACAGGTAAAGTAGCCATCATTTACAACTAAGAGTTATTTCTCATACATGTACATGTATATGTACTTGTTCAAAACACCTGTAACACAACAAACAAACAAAGCAAAACAAACAAGACTTGAATTCACACTGTTGGCATTTGTTCATTCATTTCCTGATACAGGGTGGGTATATGCCAGAAGCAGGGATGACAGAACTACCTATCTGCCACATCTGCTTGGAGAGAATGGTAAGGCAACAGCATTACTATTATGTCATGTCAATATCTTTTTCCCAAAATGACGTTTCTTCTTTGGGAAACTACTTGCATGTAGTAGTATTACCGTAGTATTTCATGTTTTTTTTAGTTTTTGAAATATTTCTATCACTTAACTGCACACTAACTACCGGTAGTGATTTATGTTACTGAAATGAAAATGAAGACAGTGTGTTGAGAAGTCGAAATTGAACTCCTGTACATTTATTTTTTCAGGATGAGTCTGTAGATGGGATCCTGACTGTCCTATGTAATCACTCCTTCCACATGCCCTGTCTAGAACAGTGGGAGGACACAACGTAAGGAACCAATAGTTATTCTAACTCTAGCATGAATTGGTATAGAGTAATCCAATATGCATTGTATTTTATTAGCAAAACATTGTTCCCTGACCGTTAACATTAGATTATTATAGTAAGATGACGCTGTTTATTACATTGTCCGGCACAGTATATGTGAAGGTTCACAGTTTTCTTTACTGTGCAGTACAGAACTGCAGTCAGTTTTCTGACCCATGCCATTTGATGTGGTCCTTCCTGCTACCATACATGTAGGTGTCCAGTGTGCAGATATGTCCAGTGCCCAGAGCCAGTGGCTGATAACAAATGTTTCCAGTGTGACAGCATTGAGGTTTGTAACTCATTTACAAGTACATGTAGAACACAACAGCAAACATAGCATGGAATAAATATTTCACATGAAACAGCTTGTAAGAAGTTTTATGTTAGAGATTGATACACATAAAAGATGAGGTTCAATATTTAGTTTATAATATGTAGAACACATGCCTTTCCACCTCAAATTTTGCATCCATTTTGGTGAAAACTTATATCTATCTCCCCCAGAGCCTGTGGATCTGCCTGGTGTGCGGCCATGTTGGGTGTGGTCGTTACCAGAAGGCTCATGCCTACGAACATTTCAAGGAGTCTCAGCACACCTTCTCTATGCAGCTGGGAAACCAGAGGGTCTGGGACTATGCAGGAGGTAGGAGAAACTTCTCCTGATAGTAACAATGTTGGTTTATGGCATCTATTCTGATGAAAGGAAAGTGATCTCAATCCAGTTTTAGCTTAATGAAGAGCTACCATAATCTCCCACTGGTTGTGATAGAGAAGGCAGATGATATGAACAGAATTTACAGGTACCCCTAGCTCTTTTTGACAAGCACAATTAATATTGGACCATGGCTTAACAGCCCAGCCTAAGGACTCCAGAGGCAGGGTTGCTAACCACTGCACTACGTACAAAATGTATGCTACTACAAGAAATTTGTCAAATTATGAGTAATTTTTTTTCAGATAACTGGGTCCACAGAATTGTGCAGAGCAAGGGGGATGGTAAACTGGTAGAGTGGGACTGTCCTGGCTTCAACAACGGAGAAACAGATGAGAAACTAGACTCCATGCAACTGGAGGTAACAACAATTTTACTATTTTTAATATTTTATAGCATACTTTAGTCTAGGAGGTAGTCTATTGAGGTGCAATCTTTTGTAGCCAATTCTAGAGCTAAAAATTGGTCACAAACTCATTTTTAAAAAATAAAGGTTTGTGATTGGTTGATCCAATGTTCCAGTACACCTACCTGCTGACCAATCAGCTGGATAATCAGAGGAGATACTGGGAAGACAAGATCGCACGGGTGGAACAGAACGCCATCGAAGAGGTACATTGTACTGTAACAGACACTTCAACAACTTCCTGAAATTTGAATTATCGAGGAATTAAGCAAAACATAGGAAAAGCCATTACAAGTATTGTAGAATAGGAAAAGTGTACTAAGTGAACTGTCATCCTGTCTTTAACTTTTGGAAGGTGAATTTATGTTTAACCTTCTCCTTGCTGTGGGAGATTTTTTTGCTAAGGTGTTAATTTGCAGTTGAATCTTACATGAAGCTTTTGTGTGTGTATTTGCCATCAGACTTCTGCCATGGAGGCTCGGTTTAAGAAGACCCTGGAGAAGTGTGAGGAATTGGAACAGAAACTGTCAGACGCACAGAAGGAGAGGCAGGGGCAGGATAAGAGATGTCAACAGGTTAGAACTGGATTCACTGGATCTACTGTGAGCAGAATGTATCATGAATCATAGAAGAACATGTAGAGTAAACTACATTTTGCACTACAAGTTGTACAAGGCATCTAATGGAGGGATATTGGTATGTGTAAATATAAGAAGTAGGTAATTGGGATCTTAATGTGGTTGACTATTCCATAACCTTCCTTGTAGAAATCTTTCTTTAACACCCTAATCTTTGTTCATCTTATCAACAGTTGTTGGGCAAAGTACTAAAGCTGTCCAAGGATCTGAAAGAAGAAAAAGAGGTCAGTTTTAGTAGTCACCTGTTATCCCAATCCTTCCACAGATGTGGTAAATGTCAATAGACACAAACAAAAAAGAAATAAAGTGGTAATGATACAAGCCAACATTTTATTGATGCTGAAGAAGAGTGATGGATGTCACTAAAAATGTCTGGAAGTAATCTTGGTAATTTATCCAATAGTAGAGTTAGAATTGTCTATGTGTATTGTTTACCTGGATGTCTAACCTTCATCACTTTAACTCTCTTTTATTTTCTGTTCCAGTTGAACACATGTTTATCACAGAACCAGCAACAGTGGCAAACCAGATATGACCAGCTGGAAGCCAAGATGACGACAGAGATGGAGACCAAATCCAAGGTCAGGAGTAGAGCCAGTCAGTTTTCTGTTATTATAAGATTCATAGAGCAACAAAATTAAATCAATGAGTTTGTTTCGCATGCTACTAACAATTGCTCATCTCCAAATCTGTAAGTGTAACATTCAACATATTCAAAATAGGTTGAATGGTGATATTGAGTAAAAGAGAACTTCCTTGCAAATCATTAAATTTTTTCAGTTTTGTAAAATTGAAAAAGAAAGTACGTGTTATTTTTTGCCAGCTTGCTTCATTAAATGCAAGTGCTTCGAGATTCTTGTGTTTGATAAACTGGATGGTTTGCTCTCACAGGAAGTGAATGAGTTGAAGGAACAGGTCCGAGACCTGATGTTCTTTCTGGAGGCCAAACAGACCATAAGCGAGGTGCCTGAAGACCAGCGGCAGGAGATCGCAGAGGGGCAGATCGTGATGGGAGCAACAGCGGCGCCCCCTGGTGCGGGGAGGGGGCATCGCGCTCGGCGAGGGAAAAAGAGATAGTACATACATGTATCTCTTCACAGAAAATAAAGCTTACTGCGTGCTGGTCCGTTGGCTTGTTGTGGTCATGATGGCACTCTGCTGCTTGGCATACTACTTTCCAGCCATGCCTGTCAAACGCAACTGCCTGGGCCTCAGTAATGGTCAAGGATTGCTGCATTCAAATCATGCATTTTAAGCCATGTAAATCTGAATGTCTTGGAGTTGGCAGGACCATGACTGAACACTGCTGATGGCTTTCAGATGCCACGTTTCATTAGAGGAGCCTAGAATGTCTAACCTGCCTATGAAATTTAAACAGATGCCTTTAGAGACAATTCTTCACATGCCTATGCTGTCTCAACTTTAGCAAAACTGTTGCTACGTGTACATAAACTATTTATTGTTAACAGATTATCTACTCCAAAGTAACGACCATGATACGGGGAATGCATTTGGGATTTTAAGGGTGCAATATACTATTAAGTAATAATAGTGAAGAAGCAGATTGTTTTGTATGATAGCTGCAAGCTTTAGGGTCCTCCTGCACTTTTTTACTGCACTGCATAACAAGAAATGAAGATTCTGCATTATATGAATAAGACTGAAACCGCATTTCTTCTTTAGTCAGAAACAAGTTTTCACCAATCTTCCACACATGTATATTTGTGTTGAACTCAAATTTACAGAACAATACAACAGAATAAAGCTGCTTAAAAGATCTTTGGGCTCTGGCTGCTTTTATTCGCATCCATTCTTCAGCTGTCTCAGTTACTTAAGGCCTTCTGCATGCATATTTCCATATCTGCTGGATATTTGGCTAGCAGGTACGCAGAACATATACATGTAGAAGGCATATGGTATCTGCTCAACGTTGCATAAAAAGGCGGCCATACGATTCCCCTTAAACAAATATCTTAGTAATACTTTTGTGAGTTCTGACTCAAACGGTGGTTTCCTTCTCCACAAACTGAAGATCTATCTCATGACGACATTCTGTAAGTTTCTGTTCCAGTTCCTCAGGTGTCGGTCTGGCCGACGGCTCCTGCCGCCAACACGACCTCATGACGTCATACAGCCTGTTCGGACATCCCCGCGGCTTCAGCAGACGCATTCCCCTCCTCAGGAACTCTACTAAGTTCGGATAGGTGAGCCGGACCATCTCCTGATAGCTGGGCTCCTCTCCAAACGCCGCGATCTCCCACAGCAGCACGCCGAACGACCACGTGTCAGACTCGCACGTGAAATGACGATATTTCAGTGACTCCAGAGCCATCCACTTCAGAGGCAACAACTCCTCAGCGTCCGTCTTCACAGAAGCCGCGTGCGAAATGGTGCTGTACACGTCACGGGCCAGGCCGAAGTCAGTCAGTTTAGCGACGTCATCTCCACTGATGAGAACGTTCCGAGCGGCCACGTCACCGTGAGCGATAGGAAGGCGTCGGAGCTCCTCCAGGGCACGTGAGATGTGGACAGCATAGCGTAGAACGTCGCTAAGGAGAAGAACGCGACCCAAGCGTCGACGTTCGGTTTGTTGCTTCAATCGTTTAAGAAGTTGCAAAAGATCACCATTGGCATATTCCAGGAGAACACCTTTTGGCGTGGACTTCGTGATGACCCCAAAAAGCCGGACAATGTTGGAGGCTCCGTTATTGTGTTCCCGGTTTTCATGAACAGCTATGAGTGCGGAAACTTCCCGACAGAATGCTTGGTAGCACAGTTTGTCCTCCGCACGCACGGACTTCACAGCTACAGTCACGTAAGCGTTGTCAATGAGGAGATGGCCCTTTCTGATATGTGCAAACGTACCGAGCCCAATCAGCTGACCTAGAGTCAGATCCTTGGACTTCCTTTCCCATCGGTTGAGCCAGTCGGGCTGCAGACTATCTGCTAAGTTTACTTCCATACTGGTCAGTTCGAGTAGAGCCTGAGCCTCCTCCAAGTCGTCATTTCGTTTTACCCGAGTAGTCCTTTTCCACATACAGAGCCCCATTAATGCTGCGGAGACAAGCAGAACCAGTAAAAGGGGTACAGAGACTTGCAGTGGTAGCATGGATGTGTCGGTATGGATTACGTCACACCACTGCCCAGTCCAAGGCGACTCGCAGGTGCAACTTCCATCCACGTGGTGACATGTGGCGTTGTTCTTACAAGAACACAGATGCCGACACTCCTCTCCGTACCGACCCCTTGGGCATGGCATATCACAGTGTTCGCCAAACCATCCCTCTCTGCAGTTGCAACGACCGGTTATATGGTCAGAAGAACGCATTCTGACATTGGCATTCACTGCTACAGTCTTGTCCAAACGTGCCACGTTGGCACTTAGACAGGCACATTGTCCCTGTCCACCCCGGTGGACAGACACAGCCGGCCCACCGGTCACAGCTGACACCTGCTGGACAGTCGCAGTCGTCTTCGCACAATCCGCCCGTCTTCCAAGCAGGACAGGTGACTGCTTGAAGCTCGTAACTTGCGAGAAAGACCCGTTTGTCTTCTGTAACTACAGTACAGGTGTAGGTGCCATTGTGTTGGGATCGGATACTTTCTATTCTTACCTGATCTTCTGGAGTCCTCTGTAGCCACTTTTTGGTTCCATTTGGAAACCTCCACATCATCCTTTCGACGGCTAGATTGAAAGCTCTGCATTCCAATGTCAACGAACCCTTGATGTGAATCTGTCGCGAGTTGCTAGGAGTCGCGATGATGGCAACTGTACTGTGAGGTATGTCACAGACGACACCTTGCCATCCAGGCTGACACTTACAGGCCCCGTTGAACGCATGGCAACGGGCGCCGTTTTCACAGCCACAGTGTTTTTCACATACCATGCCATATTTGTTCAGCGGACATCCTTTGGCTTTAACGTCGAACCTCAGTATAATAAATCGGGTGACCTCGTACTGTTGATCATGATTTCTCATTGGTAAAGATAATGTTAGGTTTAGCAGTTTGCAGTTCAAATGGTACTTTTCGCTGTCTTCTTGAGGTTTGAATATACTTAACGAACCTGCAATGTCAAATTGTTTGGTAAGGTAGTCAAAATTTGAACCCACGTCACTTGCGAAATCACAATCAGCACTCCCGTCAGCGTTTAGTACTGTGAGCTCAAAGACTGCTGCATCGTCGGACGAGGAGAAACATTGGAGACATTTGAAACCTGACCCACGTAACTCTCTAGCTGCGGCGATGTCTAGTTTATGCCTTGCAGATGCTGCAAACTGCACGCGACAGTCGCTACCGGCGTGGTAAAATACGGAATGATATAATCCAGGTATACGTACAGCATATGGAGTCTGACTTGTGATGGAAATAAGTCCACTGTGCTTTTCCATTATTTCAGCCGTACTTGTCACATCAAAAAGAAGACTGCCCGACTTCCCCCCAATCTGCACGGGTGTTTCGCACGTGTCGTTGTAAACAGGCGGGTATCCTTCCACCTCCTGGACTTGTATATCCACGCGTCGCTCTTCTACCTTTCCGACCGGCCGAGTGACATTGACCCTAAGGTTGTACATCGGACTGACGTCATAATCTAACGGCCGTGCAACTGTGATCCTACAGGTGGTTATCATGAACCGGCCGTGCTCGTCTCCCTCCACAATCTCACACTGAACGTCGTCTTCGCCCATCTGAGAGGTGGTTAGGACGCTGGTGACGTTTCTTCCGATAGCGGCATTTTCTGGGACTGTGGCATAGAGCGGAGTTGTTGAACAAGCGACGTTGGAGAGCGCCAAGAACGCAACGAGACTGAATAAGCTCTTGAATGTTTGCATCTTGAAAGTGGTGACAGGGGTTGACTGCTGAGTTTTCATCACACACATTTATAGCTGGCTTTCTTTAGCAGAAACCTGACAAAGTCATGACCTTTCGTATGATGTTGAATTACGTTATCACGACTAGTCAACGAAGTCACCTCATTTGCATAATTAAAAAGAAGAGGAAGCATTTGATGTGGTGGAATATCCCCTTTTTTCGTACAGTAGTTTAAACATTGTCGTGAATGTATGGCAAGTAAATATAGGGCGTGATCTAAAGATAGAAAGATGACAAAGTAGAAGGCGCATACCACAATTGCTTGCTAATATATAGCTCTCGTATCCACATGTAAGATGGTAAAATGGAGAAACTCTCCTGATAGAGTCGACTAGACCAATCATAACTGTTTGTCAAGCGTTGGGGGAATTACCCTAACTCCCAGTTTCTTACCGTACTATATAAGTCTACGGTATAATTTTCGTTTTATGAAGATTAGACTTTAAAAAATTATAATTAATGTCATAAAAAAAGTATTTGATTTGCAAGAGGTTTGTTTATCCAGAGTCCTTGCCTGTTCAGCAGGTAACTTGGAGTACGTTTCACCAAGTCATGCAGCAACCTCAATAGGTCTCTAGAATGTGCGTCAATTGGCTTAGATTAAGACGCTATCAGGAAAGTTGCTCCATTTTACCAACTTACACGTTGATTGCAATATAGTACCAAGCAATTGTGGTATGTCTTGTGGTTTTCATCTTTCTATCTTTAGACGTCCACGTTACGTACAATATTTCACGACCATTTATAATTTACTAGTATTAAACAACGGAGCGAAAAGAGGATGTTTGACCACATCAAATGCTTCCTCTTTATGAATTAGGAAAATGCGCGAGGGGATTTCTTTGACTAGTCGTGATAATTTAATTCAATTCAATATCCAAACGAAGGTTGTGACTTTGTCACGTTTCTGCGACACAGCTATAGCCGTGTGTGGTTCAAGCTCAGCAGTCGTCCCGTGACCAGATCCAAGATGCAAACATTCAAGAACTTATTCAGTCTCGTTACGTTCATGGCGCTGTTCAGCGTCGCTTGTTCAACAACTCCGCTCTATGCCACAGTCCCAGAAAATGCCGCTATCGGAAGAAACGTCACCAGCGTCCTCACCACCTCTCAGATGGGTGAAGACGACGTTCAGTGTGAGATTGTGGAGGGAGACGAGCACGGTCGGTTCATCATAACCGCCTGTAGGATCACAGTTGCACGGCCGTTAGATTATGACGTCAGTCCGATGTACAACCTTAGGGTCAATGTCACTCGGCCGGTCGGAAAGGTAGAAGAGCGACGCGTGGATATACAAGTCCAGGAGGTGGAAGGATACCCACCTGTTTACAACGACACGTGCGAAATGCCAGTACTTATTGGGGGAAAGTCTGGCAGTCCGATTTTCGATGTGACAAGTACGGTTGAGATGATGGAGAAAGACAGAGGAGTTCTTTCCACCGAAGTTCAGATTCCGGAATCTCTACTTAAATTAGCTATATATATAGGTGAATCAATATTTTATCACGCCAGCAGCGATTGTCGTGTGCAGTTTGCAGGAACTGCCATAGATAAAAGAGGCTTCGCTGCAATTAGAGGAAAATGTATCCAATGTTTCTCCTCGCCCGACGATGCTGCAGTCTTGGAGCTCGCAGTTCTAAACACTGACGGGAGTGCTGAATGTGATTTTGCAAGTGACGTGGGCTCGAATTTTGACTATCTGACCACACGGTTTGAC